TATGGTATAAACACTCAACAAGAAAAGAAATCGGCGTGCGACGAATAAAGGTTAAAAATAAATTAAGGAAGCAAGAGTTAATGAAAGATTTGTTCCGTACTTGCAGGTGAATGTTGTTGCAATATCGTAGCAATATGAAACTTTTACCTTAAACTAAATGAATTCAAAAACCACTACGCCACACGTTTTGAACGGATGTAAGTTAATAAAGTTCTGTTTCAAATTAAACCATGATCTACCAATAAAAGTAGACTGTAGAAAGAATATAATTAAATAAAAGAACAAGAAAAACACAAACGATCATCTGTTTAATAAATCGACATGGCTACAGAAATAAAAATTGGGGTAAAGAAAACAACTTAATTCAGGCATCTTAGTGTAGAAACACTACGATTTTGCGCCAAGATACATAATCGTGATATGTAACAATTCGAAAAATAGTGTATTCATATTTTCAAAGGGAAGAATTATAAGATGAAAGAAAGTAATGAAGAGGATACCTGGTCTCTTGATTGCTGTCGAGAAGGAATTTACCAAGAGCAACGATCACTCGTTCAGTGATGGATTGTGAGGAGGCGCTAGCGATAGTAGTGAACGCACTGGTGTTTGGATTGGCGCCACAGACAGCCGACATGGAACTCCAAGAGGAGATGCCGCAAACACGCTGACCAGCTCCTGTTTGTAGCACCCTATTCGCGCCCAAAATCTCTATAAGATAACTCACTTGAATCGCACACTGACGCCGTACTGCCGCGTTCTTGTGTCTATAAAACCAAAATATTCTACTAAGGGTATTTGTTTGAAATAAACAATATTTGAAAATCGTAGCTTTGACGCAAAACTGAAGAAGATTGTGGCTCAATAAATGCGTATAGTTGGATCACACTTTAGGAATAATAAACACGAGAATTCAAAGAACATGAAACTAAATTTAATATGCCAGTAATCAAAATAATAAATATAATTGATTAACTACGTATGCTGGCTGAAGTATAGTTTGGACAGCTTGTGGGACACGTTATCGCTTTGTGCGTCATCACATGCCCGCATGTCTGCTCGCCAGGATTGGGAGGTGCGGCCGTACAACTCTGTGTGCAGCGACCGGACAAACAGTTCGCCGTACAACTCTGTGTGCAGCGACCGTACAAACAGTGACCACTAGCCTCTGTTTGTTTGACCTAATCCGCCATCCTGATCATGATTAACCTCTGTTTAACCTAATCCCTCATCCATCTGACCAATCATCAACCTCTGTTTAACCTAATCCCCCCATCCTTCGCCGTACAACTCTGTGTGCAGCGACCGTACAAACAGTGACCACTAGCCTCTGTTTGTTTGACCTAATCCGCCATCCTGATCATGATTAACCTCTGTTTAACCTAATCCCCCATCCGTGATCAATCATCAACCTCTGTTTAACCTAATCCCCCATCCTGATCTGAGGTGAATAGATGCGTGTACGCTTTATCCGCAATACCCGTACTGAGTAAACGTGCTCCGTGCTGCACGTCTGTTTCCTTTCATAACTGGGCTATAGCTTAGCTAGTTCTGGGAGTCTAGCTAGATGTTGGAGAATCTGTCATAGAGATTTCTGAGTCAGTCAGGCTTTACTAAGTTAGCAATCCGCTACAGCTAGATTAAAAGTTGAAAAATGGGCGTGGTGCCAACAAACATTCTGTTACATCTTGAGATTCTTTATGTTGTAATTAAATAAATTTGAACCTGTTATTGAAATATTTGAAAATGGAACAAAATAACGAATAGATAAAATCTTCACAGCAAATCACCATACAAAGGAAACTGAACAAAGATCAAAGTTAACTTTCCTTCACATCGATAGGTTAATTATTGATGTATTTGAAAAATGCCAATAATATCTCTCTAAATTAAAATACCTCCTTTAAATAATAAGCCTTGTAGTTTATTTGCTCAAAGAAAAAGAAATTCTAAACTTTTCCCCACCAATAAAACGGCGAGGAAATTAACTTTAAGACATTTTTTTTTGACAAAAAAGGAAAGCATGCAGTCCGATCATGCAGAGAGACATAGAAGCGCATTACGACAGACTGACGAGATAGCCCATTATTTAGTGCTTGTGTAGCTTTGTATACTATGATTGTTATCCCATCTTAATTAGGTGGTAAGTTCCTAAAAGAAGATTTTAGGTCGGTACAGTCAAACAAGCGTGAAACAACTTATTGGTTATTCATATAGGAGAGTACTGAAATTCAAAGTTGGAATTAACACCCTCGGTTCCATGATATAAGATAAAATTATTAGGATCTGCAAGCCGATGTTCCAACCAAGAAGGGGGGAAATATAAGTACTATTTGGTGAAGCGCAAAATGCAATTCGAGGAAAAAGCCAAATTTTGAAAATGTGAGAACTGTAATACTTACTTGTCTTTATACCTTCATCCTTATAACATGATATAAAGCAATTTCAAATTAGGTAGCCTATTAGTTAACTAGATTCTCAAATCCAGAGCAAAGCGGTTTGGGCTTAGTTTGAATTTATGTCGTTAAAAGAAGCATGCTCGCCTAGAAATCAGGCAATTAAAATAACCGAAAAAAGCTAGTTCTAAATGTGCTTTCG